CATCGTGCAGTAAATGCAAGTTCTCTGGTCCTCCGGCCTGCTCACCGTTGCTGGGCAGGTGGCTTGTCAAGCAGAGGAGAGCGTTTAACCGGGTTCATTTCGCACTGGCTGATTTGCTTCGCAAGGAGCCTGGGATCTGCACAACTCAAGGACTGGGAGGAATAATGACCTTCAGTCCTTTCCATTTTCCTGTGGGAGCCGGTGTCGGCTTGGCCGAGTTTTCTGGGCGTCTGGCTACTTCTTGCCCATGTCCGGCCTGTTCCGTGGGAGGACCCTTTCTTGGATGAGCCGGCACTGCACGGTCGGGGTCTCACAAGGAAGCACGAACGGGCATCCAAAGAAACCATGAGGGACTGGGGTTTCTGCTGACTTCGGCATTTATGTGCAAGGGAATGTGAGCTGCAAACATCTTGGGAAACTGAAGGATATGTGATTGGCAGAACAGGACGGGAGGCTGAGCACAGGTTTTTACAGGGCTGTCCTTGAATACCGTGAGTTTCCTTTAAGTCTTTATTTCAAACACGATGAACCCGCTGTGAAATCTTCCTTGCAAGTTGCTGACGTGAGATGGGACAGCAGAGCTGCCCCACCACCTACTTGCTCCTGCAGGTGTGGCCCCACGGGACCTCCAGGCACCAGGAGCTGTCGGGAGCTGGGGACGCGGTGTCAACGGGGACTGGTCACTGTCCTCTTGGGGCTGACATTTTAATGGGGGAGAGAAAAAATAAATGAATTCACAATAACCATAAGAATGAGCGGGGTGCCTGTTTTGTGCCTGGAGCGCCCTGAGCTCTTCCGTTTGCAGGAACCCGCTCAGTTCTCAGGATGGCCCCGTGACATCAGGGCTGTTACTTAACCTCAGTCTGACAGGCGGTAAACGGAGCCAGAGAGGGGTGAAGAAACTTGCCCAAGGTCACACAGCTTATCGGTGACAAAGCCAGGAACGGAATCCAGGCAGTGTGTCCCCGCCGTCTGCGGGCTGACACCCCACTGCCGTGGCCGCAGCGTGAGATACGCCAGGACCACCAGTGCTGGGGAGGGGGACAGGGGACAGAGCAGGGCGCAGGGTGGGCACCATTTCGGTTTTAACTGGGAATTAAAGGGTTATTTCTCCAATGTTCTTTTTGCACTAACATTCATATTCAGCAGAACCTGGGCGGGGAGGAAAATTGGAAAAAAAAAAGATACGTGCCTTTAGTCTGCTCCCCCGGGCATAGCCATTGCCCCGTGGGAGCAATTAATTCGTGTGTCAGATTGAATTTATTTCCGGTTTATTACGCATCCATCGTGAAGCTCTGCCTTCGATGGTCACATAAAGGCTTCACAGCGCACTGTTGATTGTAACTTCTCAGAGCTACAGAAAACTTAAGTCCCTTCCTAGCAGCTGGTGAACGATGTCTTAAGATGGTAAAGCCGGGCTTCCCTTCCCAGCTCCCTGGAGAAATACATTTCTTAATCCGTTCCTGCCCCTTTTCAGCATCTGAGAGCTCGCTCTGATGACAGGTGCAGGGACCTCTATTCAGGTTCTTGGAATAATATACAATAAAAAGAATCTGAAAAAAATATATATGTATGTATATATATGTATGTCTGTGTATAAGTGAATCGCTCTGCCGTACACCTGAAACTAACATTGTAAATCAACTACACTTCAGTAAAAAGTAACGTTTAAAAAAAAGATGGGTAGATTTGGTATCAGTTAAAAGTAATTGCAAGAGGCTGGTTCAATCTGCAGGTTGGTTAAGACCACTCTGTGGTTTTAGCTGGTCTTCCCAGAGGTTCAGATCGCTCAGGGGTCTGCTGTCTCCTTCACGATGAGGAAAGTAAACTGCACACCAGTGACCTCATGCAGCGGGTTCTGGGGCCATTTTCACAGGAAAGTGAAGATGAGCGTTTCGCTGGAGCCGGTCGAGCCCGCAGGCGGGAGCGATGCTGGAAGTCTGGGTGGGGGGCTGGGCGCCTGGTCTTCAGGCACCAGCAGGCATCTCAGGGTGACATGAGTTTGTGTTTGTCTCCCCCCCCCCGCCACCCCGACAGGGCTGCTTGACGACCCCGAACTGCCCGTCCGTGAATTCCCGCTCCACCACGCTGGGTCCATCCCTCTCTCTCAGCAGCATCTCCGGGGTGTCCGTGAAGTCGGACCTGAAGAAGCGCCGAGCCCCTCCCCCTCCGTCCGGGCCCCGGGCGGGGCCCCCCGTGCAGGACAAGGCGTCGGAGAAGGTAGGCGGGGGGTGGCGCTGGGCCGGTGCACCTGCTGAACACACCCACACGCCCGGGAATCCGTGCAGCTGGTGCCTCTAGAGGCAACAGGATGGTCCCGGGTGAATCTTCTCCACTTTATTTAGAAGTAAAGGTGAGATGCCGCGTTGCTTCCGTTAGGGGAGGACGGAGGCAGTTTTTGCACCGGGCGTCCTGAGAGGTGCATGATCCTTGATGAACGCTGATTTTATTTTTAGCACTGCAGTTTGGGGCGTGCTTGCGTACTGGGAAAGCTGCAGGCACGGTGAGGAGTCTGGAGTTTGCAGAAGACGGGGGTGGCACGTAGCATGACTCGCGTCCCCGGGAAAAGCTGAGATGTCCGCATGTGAAGCTGCACCCTCCATTTCCAGGGGACGGGACACTCTGACAGTTTTCCTAGCTTAGAATGTGACATTGCAAAAAAAAACCTAAGATGTGGGTGGGGTGTGGCTGGGGGTGGGGCAGGAGATACTGAGATTCGGGTTGACCTGCAGAGAAGACAGGACGGGTGACTCCTCATTGAGCGGAGACGTCCCCCCAGACACTCGCCTCCCGGCTTCCTGCGGGAACACCGCAGGGAGCACGTTTTAAGCCCAGCGGCTCTCCGGCAGGAGCTGACTCCCCAGCCCTTTTCACCGTGGCATCACCTGGCCCGTCTCCGCTTCCCACGGTCCGCAGCGTCACACGCCTGCTAGCCAAGGCCCCCTCCTCCGTTTCCGGCTTATTCATAAACCAACTTTCCTTAGAATGAGTTAGAAGCCACCTCCAAGGGGGAGGCGGGGCCCCTGTGCCATGGTTCAAAGTCACATCACTTGCTCTGTGGCAGCGTCCGGACAGCTGACTGCATTTCCTTTCCGGCCGCGAGTGTCTGTCTGCCCGTGTGTCAGTCTGTCCGCCCACCAGTCATCCTTCCCACTCCCTCCAGGGGTGTCTTTTGTCGGGGGTCTCCGAGCGACACCCTCTTCCCATCTGCAGGGTTTTGCACTCAACAGCCCTCGAAATCCTGTCATGCAACCCATTTTAGAAGAAAATTTTATTTTTGCATATCTTCCACATTTTCTCTTTTTTTTTAACTGAAATCTGATTGATTTGCAGTGTTGTGATAGTGTCAGGTGTGCAGCATCGTAATTTTTTTTCCGCTTATGCTCCACTGTAGGGTTTTACAAGATGGTTCTCTGTGCCCTACAGTCCCTGTTGCTTGCCTATTTTATGTCCAATAGTTCATTCCTGTTAATCCCATGCCCCTAATTTGTCCCTCGCCCCACTGCCTCTCCCCTTTGGTAACCATAAGTTTGTTCTCTATGTCTGTGAGTCTCTTTTTGTTTTGCAGATAGCTTTATTTGTATCACTTTTTAGAGTCCGCATATAAATGACATCATATACTGTTTATCTTTCTCTGTCTGATGTACTTCACTAAGCATAGTAATCTCCAGGTCCATCCATGTTGCTGCAAATGGCAGTGTTTAATTCTTTTTCATGGCTGAGTAATATTCCATTACACATATACCACAGCTTTTTCATCCAGTCAACTGTTGATGGACATTTAGGCTGTTTCCATGTCTTGGCAATTGTAAATAATGCTGCTATGAACATTTGGGTGCAGGTGTCATTTTGAAGTAGGGTTCCTTCTGGATATATGCCCAGGAGTGGGATTCCTGGGTCATATGGTAAGTCTTTTCCTAGACTTTTGAGGAATCTCCATCCTGTTTTCCACAGTGGCTGCACCAAACTGCATTCCCACCAGCAGTGTGGGAGGGCTCCCCTTTCTCCACAGCCTCTCCAGCATTTGTCATTTGTAGACATTTTAGTGATGACCATTCTGGCAGGTATGAGGTGACCCCTTATGGTAGTTTTGATTTGCATTTCTCTGATAATTAGCAATACTGAGCATCTTTCCGTGTGCCTGTTGGCCATCTGGATGTCTTCTTTGGAGAAATGTCTGTTCAGGTCTGACCATTTTTCAATTGGGTTGTTTCAGGGCCTGTTTTTTGATGCTGAGTCATAAGGAAACATTTTGTAATTTATTTTGAGACCGCCGTATTTTAGCTGTCTTTTGATGAAAGAAATGTAGGCACAAACGACCCATCATTTTGCTGTACACGTACACGACTGAACAGTGCAGACAGTGAACACAGAGTTGCTTCCCAAGGGTCTGCGATGTACCCCTAATTTGATGGGGGAGTTAGATCCTGAGCTTCTTCATAACACACAAGCATTTGTGTAGATTTATCATTTTTCAACCATCTACCTCTGGGGATGTCATGTTGCCTCTGAATGGGAGGGGTATTTCTTTAGTGGTGAAAATTGCGAACTCCGGTATCGATAACGTTCAGGCTTTTTTCCAGTGAGTTGCATCTTCCTAGTGCTGTAGGATCAGTCCAGTCTCCAAACTGCCTCAGCATTTTAAAACTTTCTTCCATCCAGAGAAGGTGTGGTTTCCAGATTTTAATGTGTTTACCCAAAGTGGATCAAGTCTGCTTGAGTGGGAAAACTTACATTAAGTAGAAAATCGGGAATTCTGCGTGAAAAATAAATAGTCCTCTGTATCCTGCAGAATGAATAGAGTTCCCTTTGAGTCCATAAAACCTTTTTTTTTTTTTTTTTTACTGAAATCCGTTTTATTTGGCCCGGAATGAGTGGAGAAATTGGCTCCCAGCAACCATCTCCTTTTTAAAAACATACGAGTGGCAGATGGATCTGATTTAAGCATTTACTATGAACCTACTTCCCACCTCCCTCCCTTTTTTTTTTAAATGAAAGGCATTTTGTTATTTAGTAATTTCTGGGAAAGGAACCCAAAAATGTATTGTCATCGCTGGGGAAGAACGTCAGTTCCTTCTTCCTGAACTTCCTTCCGTGTAAAGATAAGAGGTTTATTTGGAAAGCCTTATTTCTGTGCAACTGTTCCCAACACGAAAATCCTGACTCAGGAGCAAAGGATTATTTCCATGGGACATGGCCAGCTTATAAGAAAATGAGAATGTTTAGATGTTCATATTTCGAAGGACTTTATTTTCTTACCAACTAGTATTAAAAATTCAGTATAGTGAACCCTTCAGCTCCGTGGGCTCTCCATCCTGGGATTTAACCAATCGTGGATCCAAAACATCCAGGAAAAAAAAAAACTTCCAGAATGTTTCAGAAAGCAGAACTTGAATTTGCTGTCTGCAGGCAACTATTCACAGAGCGTTTGTTACATGGTGTTATAACTCCTCTGGAGATGAGTTCATGTTCACAGGAGGACGTGTGTAGGTTACGTGCAAATGCCATCCATCGTCTTAGACAAGGAATTCAGCGTCCCAGGATTTCAGGACCTGAGTGGGGTCCTGGCACCAACTCCCCACCGATACTGAGGGAGGACTGTCTTTACTCACTCAACTCTTAAAGGTGGATAATTTCAGCCATCTTCCAGGTCATCTGAAACGTTTAAAAAGTGTCATCTTTGTCTCAGAATTCATTACCCAATTTTTTTTTTTTTGGAAACTCCTAGAGTGTATGTATTTAATTTTTTCCCCCTTAACAGAGGCACTGGGGATTGAACCCAGGACCTTGTGCATGCCAAGGAAAACCTTTTTTAATTTATTTTGAGACCTCCATCATATTTTATCTGTCTTTTGATAAAAGGAATGTAGGCACAAACGACCCACCATTTGGCTCTGCCACTGAGCTCCACCCCGCACCCCCTTCGTTACCCGATTATATACTCGTAATTTGACCACTAGTGTGTGTTACCCCTGAAAGGACTTGTCAGCATCTTCTCGGAGGTATCTTGAGCCGTTGAAGTGGCCGGCATCCTTGTGCAAACTTGCCAGCAGGCAGGCCAGCGAGGGCAAGGGACGCGTCATCTTTCAGAAGGAGGTGAAACCTTCATTCGTCTTTCCTGTACCTGTGTGTGTGTGTGTGTGTGTGTGTGTGTGTGTGTGTGTGTGTGT